CCTTCAACCACGTTCCATCAACACTGATAACTTTCCTCATGCAACTAAAATCTCGTATACAAGGTCAATATGCTAGAAAAAGATAGATAAAACAGTTATGGTCATCAAAATGAATATGGGTGATACTGTCGTGATTGGGAAAAGACACCATATGATAGTATGATGGGAGCTTCGTGAAGCTTTCTTCGGCCGTACCTCTTACGAGTTAAAGTGCGTCCTCACGAGCCTTCCATCCTTTGTAATAACTGAAGTCTATCCCGAATTCGTCACGGGCATATTTCTGAATCGATTTGGGAACTGGACCCTGTTTGACGCCTATAAATTGGTTTTTCATGCAACTTCTAATAATGGAGTACATTGCTTGCGTGTGCTTCACCAAACGCTTTTCCAGTGAGCAAGAGTGAACACCATTATACTTGCGGATTACAAACATGTTCGATAGTCTCAGTTTGTAGGCTCGGATACGCCACACACATTTCGGATCCACACACTCTACTACAAGCACGTCTTTATTTGATTTTGTTGTTCGAAACTCAAACTTCCCCTTTAAAGCTATTAAATGCAGATTTTCCTTCAAATCATTCTTACTTGTAAAGTACTGACCAACTTCTAAACTAGATCCACCACAGACGGTAGATCCATGAGATGATCCAACTTCTACTTCATTTAAAATGGCAAGTGGTTGTGACTCTAGCTGTGGCTGTGACTCTGGTTGTGGCTCTAGCTGTGGCTGTGACTCTGGTTGTGGTTACGACTGTGGTGAAATATCATTACGAGTTGAAAACTCATCTGTAGCTACAATACCCATAAAATCACGACCAAGAAAATCGTCATGCAAAGGATTTCTCCTAATTTTGACTCCATCAATATATTCTTCTGGATTCATAAACTTCTCATCCACTATCACGTGTAGCGGTACCTCGTGGGCTATATCACTGAAAAATAACAAATCAACATTGTCTTTTATTACAACGGGCAACAATTTATGTTTCAAATTCGGTACCTACGATAACTGCAATGAATGTTTTTGTGCATCAATTCCACATTTTCTACAAATCTTATCAACGAAGGTTTCAAGAGTATCCTTCTTATCCATATATACGCCAATTAAATTACAGTCTCTATGCCACACCCAACAACTTTCATTCTCATCCTATTTTCCTCCAATGTCAAAAAAAAATCCTCCACTGAGGCATTATTTAGATTTTAAAACAGTAAAAATTTAATCAAGACAATAATATGTCATTAAACCAAACCAAATATACCACGAATATACCAAGAACAGACTATATAATAAGAACTAACCATATAATGAGAACATACCAAGAACAGGCTAAGAACAGACCAAGAACCGACCGTGCAATAAGAACAGACTAAGAACAGACCACGAACTGACCATGTAATAAGAGCATACCAAGAACAGACCACGAGCCGACCATGTATGAGAACAGACCAAGAACAGACCACGAACTGACCATGTATAAGAACAGAGCAAGACCAGACCACGAACCGACCATGTATAAGAACAAACCAATAACAGACCAAGAACAGACCACGAACCAACCATGTATAAGAACAGACCAAGAACAAACCTTTTTTTTTTTTGTAAACCCAGTAGATCTTCATCATATCTGACAATGTAACCCGGTCTTTTATCATGTAAAATTACTATTTTAATGGATTTTTAACATTTTTAGCTACATTCTCATCTTAAAAACATATGAACAACAACAAAAAGCACCATGAGAGATATAGAAAAAGAAAGACTTACTTAGTAGCTCTTCTTCAAACTTTGTTTTGGACGAGAATAAAACGCTGAATGGCAAGATAATAATGTTAATGAGGTTGTGCGACGACGAGGACTTGAGAAGATGAGAGAGGAAATGGAAGGCGGCTGGGAGAAGAAAACGGAGCAAAATGGAAGAGGAGAACGATAAAGAAAACCCTAAAAACATAATTGATGACGTGGAATAGCTGATGTGGAAGTTGGCCTATTCACCCAATTTATTTTTTGTGGTTTATTTGCTTAAAAATACTTTTTACTTAGTCTATCTATACAACAAGCCCTTCATAGTTAGAGGGGAGACAATGTTTTTAACTGTGCATTTGGGTTCCAACGAGCAAAATCAAGGGAGGCTAATTCCAAAATCAAGGCCTCAAATGTCTCATCGGACCCTAACCCAAACTCAAGGTTTTGGGCTACCAGACATAGGTTCTTTTATGGACCCAAGATTAGAACCACCAAACGCACCTTTAATTTTTGGTGAGTCTTTCTCTTCCTTCCCTTCCTTTCCGTCTACATATGGAAGGATCAATTTTTGGTGGGGCCCATGGAAAGACAACCCCTTCCTTTTTCCTTTCCCTAGCCCAATTCCTCCTACCAAATAAAGGCTTAGTTTGGTATTATTTTTTCATCCCAAAATCAGCTTCTGCTTGTAGCAGAAACTGATTTTAGTATTTGATAAATCTTCTCAAACATGCTTTTTAAAGAATTTTTCAAAAATCTACAGCTAAAATCAGAAGCAGTCAAAAGGCAATTTTAGCTTTTAGATTGTGCGAGAATGAGTATAGTATAATTAATAAAACTTTCATAATACCTCTAATAAATTTAAAATTTAAAATTTTTCCAATCTAAAATTTAGACTCGTAATATAATATAATATAATACAATATACTATAATATAATATAATATAATAGCAATATTGTAACAAATAATATCATAATTATATTAATAACTCTAATATTATTATTTTATCATAAATATAATAATCGTTATTTTAATTATTTCAGTTATTATTTTAATAATATTATTATATTCTATATCATAATTATATAATATATTATATAATAATAGATCATAAAAAAAAATAATTTTAAATCATAATTTTAAATACATAAACTAAACGTTATCTTAACAAATCCACTGAAAAAAAGTTGATCTCAGCTACCCATCTTCCTTGATCCTTCCCAAACAATGATTCGGGGAAAGATATTTTCGACAAATCAACGCACGATCATGACCGTGAACAATACAAAGAACCGATGCTTTTCGAAAACGAACGTACAGGATTAAAAGAACAAATTAAGATCGTGATCTCAGGGGGGTGACGCATTTATTCGGGTCATGTAAAGCAATGTAAACACATCTGTCCACTGAAAGTTTGCCACGTCAAATAAGTAAGTCTAAGTAACATTTGGGCCCATGGTCCACACGGTAAGATTGATGGGGCGAAAAGTAGGAGAGCGCTTTCGGGAGAGGGAAAGGAAAGCTTAAATACTGCGGCAATTGCCTTGTGAAAGGCCTCATAAGGACGGGCGATTTCTCGACGGCCTCGTTCCCAGCCTAGAGAGAAACTAGAGAGAGAGAAGCTAGAGAGAAAAAGTCCCAGAGCTTCTTCAATCTCAGGTATTTTCTGGTACTTTTATTGTTTTTTCTTTTTTTTTTTCCTTTTTTGTTTGCTTTTCGCGTTTTTTATATATCTGTGATTTTGTTTCTGAAAATTTCGTCGTGAATAGTGAATTCAAACGAAGCTGAATGTGATTAAGATTGATTTTTTCAGTAGCGTAATGTTTGTTAGATCTAAGGTTTCTGCTCTCAGATTACAGGATTTGTTTTTGCTTTATGCTTATTAGCTTTTCTGTTCATTATTGTTATTGTTATTTATGTTTGTTTTAAGTAAAATTCAACATAATGCGGCTTTATTTTGTAATTAATTGTTTATTTACCTGCATGTTTCGAAGCTTTTGAGCATTCAGAAGTTAGTTTCGTTTTCATTCTGTTTGTAACTCTTTTATTAATGCAAAAAAAAAAAAAAAAAAAGCTTATGAATCAAATCTCAAATCGCTGCTTTTATTGACTGTCATTCCTCAAAGAGAAAAAAAAATTCGTTTTTTTTTTCGCTTGTTTTAGCTATTAAAATCTAAGTTTTCCCTCATTTGATGTTGTGTCCAAGTCGATTTGATGCCGTTTCTCAATGTATTTCCGATTATGGATCGGATCCACCAGAGCCTGAACTTGTTTAGAAATTAGAATAATAAATAGCTGACTCTTGTCGGCCAATATTAATATCTTTATTGTTTTGTTCTTGGGGGAATATTGCAATTTCTTAGGATATCCAATTCCAATATATATATATATATATATATAAGTTCATTTAACGGTAACTGATGATATATTCTAATCTGAAGTCTTTGCGTAAACTTTTAAAGTCGCCAAGCTTTCGTCTTGACCTCTCGTCTCTTTTGTTTGTATTTTGTGGCCCTTTATTTTAGTCATGCCTTTTCTTTTTTCCAATAAACTTTTTCTTTTCCCTTTCTAAAGAAGAAAACGCAACGTTATCTTTAGTTTCTCCCTTTTTTTGGTGGAACAGAGGGGAAGTTTGGTGCCTAATTACTGTGTTATGACATGATTAGTACAACTTTATGACGAGAATATATTACCCATATGATTCTTTACTTCAATTTTTAGCCATAACATGTGGGTTAATATTAGACAGAAATAGTTGGCTTTGACACCTGGATATCTATGATTAACATCTGCCCAAACTGGCTTTGGGTTAAATTTGAGCACAAATAAGCAGGGTAATTGTCAGAATAGTTGATTGTGACACATTAATTTACTTTGTTGATAAAACAAACCCCACTTAAACGGTTTCTTTCTAGGAAACGAGCTATTGATTTATTGGTTAGTCATGAAAACTGTGAGCTTTCCCTTCTCTTTATTTTTGGGTGGTGTCTTTTCGCTGGCCTTTCCTGCCTAGGAATAGGGACAATGAGAAACAATAATTTATTAATAGTGGAACGAGTGATCATCACGTGGTTGTCTTTTCGTTCCCATATGTTGCGTGGACGTTTGTAAAACGACTAGAGCGCGGAAACGGCTTTGCTTTGTGCCATTGAGTTGTCTCAATTTACCCATCAAGTGGTGTTTTGTGGTGGGCAATTCGGAGTGGGCCTTGTCAGTACAAGTATCCAATTTCAGCTCACTATCTTGTGGTGTGTCAGATTTTTCAAGTTTCACCGCTAGAATCGTTTTCCTGGCTATCATAACACTCTAAGCATGTTATCGTTTTTCGTTTGGTTTTTTTTTTTTTCTAAAGAAAGCCCTACCTAATTAGTTTCTTTCATCATGTTTGTTATGAAATCAAAGAAAATGCAAAATTAAGAAGGAAAATTTTAGAGAGAGAGAGTTTCATTAATCTTGTAAAGGTATATAAAATGAAGAGACTTAAAGTTTTATTTATAAAAAACTTTTAGGCAATATTTAAGGTTACTATTTGCATAATACTTACTATTTACTGTTACTATTTACACAATAAGATTTTGATATGAATAATAACTTTGTCTGACTTGCATAGTAATTTTGACTGAGGTAGACAACTACTATTCATAACATTTCCTCTTAGATGTCCATCATTCGTGACGTCTTATTAAAAACCTTGTTAGGAAAAACCCAGTAGGATAAAAATCTTAGCAAAGCGAAAAGAGTACATTTATCTATATGTGTTTATGTTTACTCATTAAAAATCTTATCAGGAAAATCCAGTGGGATAAAACTATAATAAGGAAAAGAGAGTACAGTCATGTAAACTTCCATTCAAGTTGACATGTATAGGCTTTTCTCATAAATCTCGCAAATGACGCATCCCGAACTGTGGATATGCTTTCTGAATATTATAGTGGGAAGTGTTTTTGTGAAAATATCTGCTGCATTGTCACTTGATCAAATGTATTGAATAACAATATCCTTATTCTTTTCAAGCTCTTGAGAGTATGAGAAGAACTTCGGGGGTATGTGTTTCATTCTGTCACTTTTGACGTAATCTTCCTTTATTTGAGTGACACATGCTGCATTGTTTTCAAATAATACTGTTGGATTTTTACTAATAGATAATCCACAAGTTTCTTTGATATGTTGAGTCATAAACCTCAGCCATAAACATTCTCGACTAGCTTCATCCAGTGCAATAACTTTGACATGATTTGATGAAGAAGTGGCAACAAGTGTTTGCTTTTGTGAACACCATAAAACAGCAGTACCTCCACATGTGAACACGTATTCAGTTTGAGACTTGGCTTTATGTGGAACTGACAAATATCCTGCATCCGCAAAACCAATCATCCCTTGTTTTGATCTTTTAGGATAAAATAATCCCAAATAAAGGAAGGTTTCGTCACAAGCGACAGAACGAAACACATACCTCTGAAATTTTTCTCATACTTCTAAGAGCTTAAAAAGAATAAGGATATTGATATTCAATACATTTGATCAAGTGACAATGCAGCAGATTTTTTCACAAAGGCTCTTCCCACTATAACATTCAGAAAGTATATACATAGTATCGGAATGCGTCACCTGCGAGATTTATGAGAAAGACCTATACGTATCAACTTTAGGGGGAGTTTATGTGGCTGTACTTTTTTTCTCTTATTATAGTATTATTATACTGGATTTTTCTAATAAGATTTTTAACGAGGCAACATAAACACATATATATAAATGTACTCTTTTTTCTTTTGCTATAGTTTTTATCTCACTAGGTTTTTCCTAATAAGATTTTTGATGAGGCATCATAAATGGTGGATATCTAAGGGTGAGTGTTATGAATAGTAGCTATCTACCTCAGTCAAAGTTACACTGCCAAGCAGTCAAAATAGTAACTATAAGTAGTTAGTCCTATGTAAATAGTAATAATGAATAATGCCAAAATTTTCTTTTAAATAGGCACTAAAATCCTTTCATTTGTACACCATTCCGAAGATGAGTGAAATCCCTCTCTCGCCCTCTCTACTCTTTCTAAAGTTTCCTTCTTGTTTTTGCATTCCTTAGTTGTCATAACAAAAAGATGTATGTATCTGTCTTGGTTCTTTTTAGTGGAACTTATAATTATGAGAGTGGAACTTGGTCAATAGTTAAATGGACATAAAATAACTGGTCCGCTGGTCAGTCAATTTTTCCAGCTAGATGACCAGAATACCATTGCTAATTATATTCATGTATTTTCTTTGGCATCTGCTATTGAGTTATTTAAGGAATTTCACTTAGTTTAGCCATATTTAGTTCGTCAAAGTTGTTGAGAGGTGAATTACCACATCCATTTTCTTTTTCGGTGCAAAAATTGCCACATCCAGTTGTAGTTAGTTAGTTGTCATTATTAGGCGTCAGATTTAGGAACCAATATATGCCTCTATTCAACTTCTGTTCGTATTTTACTTCTGCCTTCCCTTTTTAACACTTCCCAATGGGACTTGTTACTTCAATAGGAAGGAAAGCCACTTAGATGAGATATGATAACTTTTTTGACCGTCTGAATTGCCAAAATTAATTTTTTGAACCACTGTAGTCATGACATAGTTGGGTAGAATTGCTTGTTTGACTTGGATACTTATTTAGTTGCTAATTGCTCTTAAAGATTTCCAGGGTCTCAAGTAACGTTAGACTTTCTAACAACATTTTCCTTCCCACTCATCTTGGCAGGTTTTGGAACAATGGGTGCCGGTGGCCGAATGTCAGTTCCCCTAGCCGCAAAAAACTCAGAAATTGACAGCCTCAAGCGAGTCCCCTACTCAAAGCCCCCATTCACACTTAGCCAAATCAAGAAAGCCATCCCACCCCATTGCTTCAAACGCTCTGTCGTACACTCATTCTTTTATGTCGTTTACGACCTCACCATTGCCTTCATCTTCTACTACATCGTCACCAATTACATTCCCCAACTGCCTCACCCTCTCCCTTACCTGGCCTGGCCCATTTACGGCTTCATCCAAGGTTGTGTCCTCACCGGTGTTTGGGTCATAGCCCTCGAATGTGGGCACCACGCCTTTAGTGACTACCAATGGCTTGACGACACCGTGGGCCTAATCCTCCACTCTTCTCTTCTAGTCCCTTACTTTTCATGGAAATACAGCCACCGCCGTCACCATTCAAACACAGGCTCTCTTGAGCGTGATGAAGTCTTTGTCCCCAAGCAAAAGTCTAGCATAAGATGGTACTCCAAATATCTCAACAACCCACTTGGCAGATTTCTCACCCTCACTATCACACTCACTCTAGGATGGCCTTTGTACCTGCTATTCAACGTTTCAGGCAGACCTTATGATCGTTTTGCATGCCACTTTGACCCTTATGGCCCCATCTACTCGGACCGTGAGAGGCTACAGATTTACATCTCAGACACCGGCATTCTCGCCGTCTGCTACGGACTTTACCGCCTCACCATGGTGAAAGGGCTTGCTTGGGTTGTGTGTGTTTATGGAGTGCCATTGTTGGTGGTGAATGGCTTTCTGGTGTTGATCACTTTCTTGCAGCACACTCACCCTTCGTTGCCTCATTACGATTCTTCCGAATGGGACTGGTTGAGAGGAGCCTTGGCCACTGTGGACAGAGACTATGGGGTGTTGAACAAGGTTTTCCATAACATCACGGACACTCATGTGGCTCACCATTTGTTCTCAACTATGCCGCATTACCATGCCATGGAGGCCACCAAGGCGATCAAGCCGATACTCGGAGATTACTATCAGTTCGATGGGACGCCGGTGTACAAAGCAATGTTTAGGGAGACCAAGGAGTGTGTCTTTGTTGAGCCCGATGAAAGTGATGAGAAAGGCGTCTTCTGGTACAAGAAGTTCTGATTTGATGATTGATAAGAGACCATATATGTATGTCAAAATTTCAGGTTGGGAAGTGTTCTAATTAGATCTTCTTCTTCCCTTTTTTAGGTTTGTTTCCGTTGCTTGGAAACCTCCAGTCTTAGTTTTGCTTCTTACCTAGTTTATGTCACCAAAAGGAGAAAAAACAATTCTAAAAAAGTTGAAAAAAAAAAACCCTAAAAACTAAAGTATAGTTTGAGGTCTAGCTTGTTCCTTGGGAGAAAGGTGGCACCTTTGATAGTAATAAAATCAATGGTTTTGAAAAGTGGTGGCTGCCTACGCTTTGCTCATTGAAAATAAGCTTTTTAAGGAGTGTTGGGTAGTTATTTCTATGTTTCCACTATCGTCAATGGCAGTTTATTTATTTTCACACGGTTCTTTTTTTTTTTTTTTAATAATTCCGCATGAACACACCCAATAATGGCTTTTCTTTTTTTTTTTTTAATTCCGCATGAACACACACCCAATAATGGCTTTCTCGTGTAGGAAGTTAATTTAAGAAAATGGAAGATAAAAATAGACTGGCTTCTTTTGTCAGCAAGACGTCTGAGGAAATGAAATCCTCATTCACAAGAGCCTAGTTAAGAATTGGAAAAAAAAATCAAAAATACCACTCAATAATTGTAAAATATTATTTACGCTACTTTATTAAAAAAATAAATAATTACTATTCATTTAATAAAGGGAAAAAAAATTTAAGGAAAATTTCATTTTGATATTTTCTGTTATATTGAAATTTAAGTTTGGTGCCTTCTATTTTTAAAAATTTTATGTTGATATTTCGGCCTTTTTCTCGGAGTTATTTTTTTAGACACAAAAAGATAAAATTATCCTTACTATAAAATTCATTTGATGATTAGAATTTTGAAAAAAGATTTTAAAAATTGTTATGCCTATAGAGTATAATCATTTTTTAAAGATTCATCCCTTTAAAATGCTTTTTTAAAATCTTTTTTTCTTCAAAATTCTAGTGAACAAATGAATTTTTACAATAAAGATAATTTTGTTTTCTTGTGTCTCAAAAAATGGCTCTGAAGTACTAAAAAATGATTTTTTAAAAGGTTGAGGTACCAGCATAAAATTTTCAACAACAGAGGATATCAAACTTACGATACCAAAATGAAAATTTTCTATTTTTTTTAAGGGAAATAGTAGAAAATAGGCCAATATGAAAAGTTTAAGAAAGTATATAGGCCAATTTTTAGTTATAGAAATTAGTAGGTAACTTGTCAAGTTATGGTTCATAACCAGATAAGTTATGGACAAACTTGTCAAGTTATGGTTCATAGCCAGACAAGTTATGGACAATTATGGATAATAACTTGTCAAGTTATGGTTCATAACCAGACAAGTTATGAATGAAAACAATAATTTGGCCTATTTATTAACTTATGTAAACTATTGGTCTATTAATTTTAATTCATCTCAAGTCTTAGCCTATTTTCCTCTTTCTCCCTTTCTTTAATATAAGATTTATAGAGGTAACGAAAAAGGAGAGATAGAGAAAGATAGTTATAGAGAGAAAGTTCTTTCTCGGAGAGCAGCATGTAGCCAGAGCTCCGACATTGTCTCCGATTGCATCTTTGGGCTCCCGACCAAGAAACTCGGTCTTCCAGCTCGTCTCATCATGCGCTTCACATTGGTTGTGGCGGTGTGCAGCATGGTGGTTTCGTTTGGGCGGATCTCACTTGGATTAGTGGTTGGGTGTTGAATCTTTGGGCTACGTTTCCATATGTGCCTTTCATTTAGTGGTTAAGCTCTTTTGGGAATTTTTTCCACTTGATGGTGGACTTTTTTGGATGCTGGTGGGGGGATGGATTCCGATGATGGTTGTGAAGGTGGGTGAGGGTGTTTCGCCGCTGCTTGAAGGCCGATTTTCAACTTCGCTATGGGTCTTCCAAAGCCCCCCAACGGCTCCTCCATCGGCTAGTCCATCGTCGGAAGTTCATGATGGAGATGCTCGGAGGTTTCTGCTTGTTTTAGTGTTTTTGTTTTTGTTGTGTTGGTAAGGGAGGTGGTGGTTTCAAGTTTCAATACCTCCTAGTGTTGGTTATGTCTTCCACCTGATCGAGTTGATAACCGACAGAGTGAGTTGTTTTGTCTGGTTAGAACTTTTTCTAGGCTGTGTAGATGTTGCCTATATGAGGGGTTTAATCCCAGTTGACTGGGTTCTTTCATTGATTGTTTGTGGTTTCAAATGAGCTTTAGTCATACTCCCGTCTGTGTCGAACGAGCCCTTTCCTGTTAAGCTTCAATACTTATTTTTGCCCCTGTGGTATGGTGTTTTTACTGGTGGGTCCAGCCAAAGGGTCGGGGTGAATCCCCGTTGTATTTGGAATCATCTGTGTCTTATGTAAGTCATTTATTGTTAAATGAAATATGCTCCCTTTTAAAACAAAAAAATAAAGGGAAAACAAAAAATCATAATGGCATTTAATTTTTTTCAAATGACATAAAAAGTCTGCACACACACAAAAAAAAAAAAAAAAAAAAAAAAAAAAAAAAAAAAAAAACTAGGACAAATCATGTACTTTTCCTCCAACAATTTACAATACTTGGATATGTCAACGAAGAGCTCATCTCACAAATTCACAATAGAGGCTTGCCCTATTTAATTTAATACAAATCACAAATGGAAACACAACACATTGGGTTTTTTGGTAATGTTTTCAAAATGATTTTGTTTTTAGTATAAAAGTGAAAATGACATTGTCTTAAAAATCATTCCAGGGCCAATTCTGAAATTAAATTTGGTTGGTCTTTTAAGAGATTGTTTCGAATATAATAAAAATGTGAAATCTTGTTTGATTATATTTATGAAATTTTGTTTTGAGTACATGTAATTAAAAATCTTAAATTAATATATTAAGTAATTAATAATCACTTAACAAATAAAAATTAATACATTAGTAATATAATAATAATAATGGATATTATCATTAATGAGTACATTAGTAATTAAACTATATACATAATATATCAGTATGTTAAATAATTAAAAGATTGTAATTAATAGTTGATTATATGTAATTACTATATTGGTAACGTACTCATATTTACTGCTTTATAAGTAATTAATTAGTATATTACTAATAAATAATTAGTATATAAATAATTTATTAATATTCTATTTACTAATTAAATGTTTAACTTTTAGTCACATAATTAAATAATTATTTAATTAATTACTAATTTTTATTTAATACTTTATTGATATATTAAATGATCAATTTTTGGCAATAATTATTTAAATAATTATTAATTACTTACTATCAATTATTAATTACTATTGATTAGTATATTACATAATTAATAATTAATTTCATATTTATTATTAATTGAGTAATTACTGTTTATTTTTTTATTTATCAACTATTTAATAATTAATAGATTATAATTGATATAATATATGATTGATTTATTGATACTTAGTTATTTATTATTAATTATTCTATTATTAATATACTATATAATTAAATTTTGGCAATTCATCTTTAACTAAATAATTAATTACTATTTATTATTTATTATTTTATTAATAAATCACATATATAATAATAATAAATTAATATTTAATTAATAATTAAGTAATTACTTTCTATTTATTAGTTATTAATCATATTATTTATTAATTATTAATTATTATGTTATATAATTAGTAATTAATAATAATTATTTAAGATAATATTGTTGATAAGTACTAGAAAATGAAAACGAAAAAGGGAAAACAACTTTAAATCGTTTTCTACTTTCTTCACAAAAACCATTATCATTGTTTTTTTCTTTCGTTTTCGTTCTAAAAATATTTGCTAAACAAACGTGGTTTGTAGACCATTTTCATTTGTGTGCCCCAAAACACGTGCGGATTTCAAAAACAACAAAAAATGATATAGCTAAAGATGCTTTTGACACCCTGTGTTTTTTTATAGTGATATAGTGAAAGACATGCGAAAACGTTTTTAAAAACATGGAGCCAAAAGATAAATCTGTCGGCATTATGGCCTTGGTTTCTCGCGGAGCATGAGAACAAGCTTGTCTCTACTTTCTGCATAATGCTCACGAGGTGGAACTATACATAGAGGTCCGCAAAAAATAAATAAAGGTAGCAAACTCAAAAAGAGGGAGAAATGAGAAGTGGTTGCAAGATGAACATAACCACATTTAGAAAGTGGATACGGACACACACTTACTCCAAGGTTCGCGAGTCAAAAAAATGAAGGTGTGTTAAAAAACTTGTTTAAGCTAGTTAGAGGACCATCATTGATGGTAATGAAATACACTTCATACTTATTAAATAGATATACCTTCTACACTTAAGGAAGAGATGATAATAATATTATTTATTTAATATATTATTACATGTTTTCAAAAATTAAACCACCAAACGCAGTTTCAGTTTTTTTTAAAACTGAAATCAATCTCTAAATAAAACTACCAAACGCATTTTTAGAAATAATTCAAAAATGAAACTAAAAACGTTTTCATTTTCATTTTCGTACAGAAAATAAAAACGTTTTGGAACCAATTCCAAACGCACTCATTATTTTTTGTTTTCATTTTCGTTTTCAAAACATTTACTAAACAAATGAGGTTTGCAGACTCTTTTTATTTTTGTGCCTCAAAAGACGTGCTGCGAAACGTTTCTAAAAATTACCCAAAAAGATTTCCAAACGCACCTATTAATTAAAAACGACGTTCTATCAAAACAACATAAAAGTAAAGAAACAAAAACGACAACTACTGTGAAAGTAGGCCCAAAAACTTTAGCCCTGTGTTATTTCAAATCCACAATCCCAATTAAGCCCAAGGTCGGCATCACTTTCTCTAGCCTAATAGGATACTGTCAGTCCTTAGTGGGCAACTGCCAATATATTAGTATGATACCGTAAATGTCTTTTATGAAAATCTATTTTCTTCTATGCAAAAATGAAAATCTATTTTGTCTATTAGAGTGGTATTGAAATAAAGCAATCTCTTAGAATACTTTAGGATTAGTATAATCATTATATTGTTGCCTTTTTGTTATAAAATTATATAATAATTATTATAATGATTTTAATTTTTATTATTTGCAAATATTTTAAACTTTTTTACAATATTTCAACATAATTTGCAAGATCGTATATATGTTCAAATCTTTCAAATTTATTTAAAAATTGTGGCTGTATTTACATAAAATTTCTTTTGTTCAATTTTAGTGTCATCCAGACGCCTACAACTCAAATGATAAAGCGGCCTTTACCTACGATTTTTGTCCTTAATTAGATGGATGCCCTATAAACAACTCAAATGAAAAAGCGACCTTTACCAACTCAAATGATAATGTGGCACTATTTATGACATTTGCTTTGCTTTTAATTATATTTAGGGCCATTTTGGACAATTTTTGCTTTTATTTTTAAACAACAAAGGAAAAGAAATATAAGTGAGGATTTTTTTTTAATTATTATTTAGATAGTATATAAAAAATTACTTTTCGATTTTAGAAGGGCTTTCAATCTTGTTTCATTAAATAAATAAAAAAATTCTATTGTTATAAAAGGTAATGTAACGGAAGGATATAGATGAATTTTTTAATCTTTCACACAAAAAGCTTAAAAAAATAAAAAAAATCCATTAGCTCTTAGGTATTTGTTTCCTATAAAAGCCAAAAGGCTAATAAATGTGTCAGTCCAAACACTTTAAAAATATCTTTTAGACTAAATAAGCTAAAAAGTGTTATGAAAATTAAGAAAATGCAAAATTAAGAAGAAAAACTTCAGATAGAGAAATTAGAGAGAGTTTCATTAATCTTGTGAAGGTATATAAAATAAAGAGCTTTAAAGCACTATTTATAGGAAAATTTTAGGCACTATTCACTATTTACATAATACTTACTATTTACAGTTATTATTTGTATAGTAAGATTATGACATGAACAGTAACTTTAAGTGACTTGCATAGTAACTTTGACTGAAGTGGACAACTACTATTCATAACACTCCACTTTAGATGTCCACTGATAACCTGATTTATTATTCACACCATTCTTAGTTATTTTGCTTGTTCTTGACATTTGCACATATGTTTTCATGGTGTTTTTATCTCACTTTTGTAGCTTGTAGTAAAAATGGAATATTTGGTCTTAAGAGGCAGAAAAAGTACAAAAACACGCTGTTTCGGCTGCTGCAGCCCCAGATGAGCTCGCCGCAGCGCCAAAATCAAAGGCAACGAAAGTTACAGGATGCAGCGCATCTTGAGCCGCTACAGCGCACCTTGGCCGAGCAAGACAGGCGCAACAGCGCCAATTTTGCCCACTGCAGTGCCCGCAACTGTGCAGCTAGGGTTTCTGGAGAACAGTCAGAGGCGCTGGAGTGCACAAAACTCCCACTGCAATGCTCGGACACGTGTTGCTCAATTTTTATAGCAGAAATGAGTTGTTTATGGGGGATATAAAAGGAAAATAAAGGAACAGAGAGAGAGAGGCGATTTTTAGACAGAAAAACCAGAACACAAAAGAAGAAAATACTAAGAATTGAAGGCTTACTTGAAGATTCAAGGAGGGATTGAAGATTATGGAGCTCTGCTGGTGTCTAGTTCTACATTCTCTCTCTTTCTATCTATCTTATTTAGCTTTCAAATTTGAGTTACTTTCTTGGATTTGTGACTGAATGATGAAATGGGATTTTGGTTTGTTTATGTATTTAGTTGTAGAATTTTTGATGTCTTGCTCTAGCTAAACCTTTACACTAGGGGGTATGATGTAGCTTGATATTGACTATGTTTTGAAGACTATATTGGTTGTTGATTGAATTTCATCTCAAGTCATTTGTGTTTCTCTGCTATTTGTTCAAATTCGTTTACCTAATGAATTGGAGATTTTAAATGTGTGGATTTTGTCTTGAGAAAGTCATTTTCATATATTGGGACTTGGGAAAGACAAACTATAGTAATATTGAGTTCGGGAGGTCAATATAACTTGGGTAATCACTACAATAGGTGGGGCTTAATGAATGCATAATTAATTGAGTTATTAAGGATATTAATTTGGTTGGTTCTGCATATTATTTTACTCGGCACTCGGGAGGGAGTGAAATTAAAGTAGGTAACCTAGAATTAATGATTTGAATGAAATTGATCAACAAGTTATCAAGTTGGATAAACATAGTCTAGTTAAGTGAGATCAAAACCCCCTAGCCTTCATTTATCATTAGGGTTCCCTTCAATCCTTGTCTCCAAATTGCATCTTTAATTGCCTTTTTTGAATTTAATTTATTTGTTAATTTTAGTTTGCATTCTACAATTGGCATTGCTTAGACAAAATTTGAGTTATTGTAGTTGTAATACTTAGTTAATTTTCAAGAACACAATCTCTGTGGGATGATACTTTACTTTCACTTTATTACTTGTGTGACCTCGTATACTTACGAGAGTATTGTGAAAATCGCACATCCACCATTCATGATGCCTCATTAAAAACCTTGTTAGGAAAACCCCAGTGGGATAAAAACCATAGCAAAAGGAAAAAGAGTACATCATTTATCTATACGTGCTTATGATGTCTTGTTAAAAACCTTATCAGGAAAACTAGTGAGATAAAGCCATAATAAGAAAAAAAGAATACAACAACGTACAGTTCCCCTCAAGATGACATGTATAGGCTTTCCTCATAAATTTGTAAATGACGCATCTCGAACTGTACATATGCTTTATAAATGTTGTAGTGGGAAGTGTCTTTGTGAAAAGATCTGCTACATTGTTACTTGATCAAATGTACGAATAACAATACCCTTATTCTTTTTTAACTTTTGGGAGTATGAGAGGAACTTCAGGGGTATGTGTTTTGTTATGTCACTTTTGACACAACCTTACTTTATTTGAGCGACACGTGCTGCATTATCTTTAAATAATATTGTTGGATCTTCACTGATAGATAGGCCACAATTTTCTTGAATATGTTGAGTCATAGACCTTAGCCATAAACATTCTCGACTAGCTTCATGGAGTGCAATAACTTCAGCATGATTTGAAAAAGCGGCAATAAGTGTTTGCTTTTGTGAACGCCATGAAACAGCAATACCTCCACATGTTAACACGTATCCAGTTTGATACTTGGCTTTATGTAGATATGACAAATATCCTACATCTGCAAAACCAATCATCCCTTGTTTTGATCCTTTAGGATAAAATAATTGCAAATCAAATGTTCCTTTAGGAGTACTTAAAAGGTTTACTTTATCCATATTAAAGCATTTTAAGACCTTTTTAGTATAGTTTGATTGATGCATAAGTATTCTACTTTGAAGATGTTCAACTGTAAACCAAGAAAATATTTCATTTTTTCAAGATCTTTCATTTAAAATTCATCTTTTAAGTATATCACAACTTCTTGAATTTCTTTATGAGTTTCAATGATGTTCAAATCATCGACATAGACAACGATTATAACAAAACCAAATGGTGTTCTCTAAATAAAAACAGATGGGCATATGGGATTATTGACATATCCTTCTTTTGTCAAATATTCACTTAAGCCATTATACCACATGCGTCCATATTACTTCAACCCATATAATGATCTTTGTAACTTAATCGAACATATATATTTAGGTTTTGAATGTGCTTCAAGCATCTTAAATCCATCAAGAATTTTCATATAAATATCACTATCAAGCGATTCGTATAGGTTTTGAATGTGCTTCAAGCATCTTAAATCCATCAAGAATTTTCATATAAATATCACTATCAAGCGATTCGTGTAAATAAGTTGTAACAACATCCATAAGACACATCTCTAAATTTTCAGAATTTGTTAGGTTAATTAAATATCTGAATGTAAATGCATCCATTACAGGAGAATACGTTTTCTCATAATCAATCATATGTCTTTCTTAAAAATCTTATGCAACAAGTCGAGCTTTATATCTCAAAATTTCATTTTTCTCATTGCATTTTGGCACAAAAACCTATTTGTATCTCATAGGTCTCACAGCTTCAAGCGTTAAGTTAACAGATCTAAAAACTTTACGCTTGTTAAGTGAATTTAACTTGGCATGTATAGCATCTTTCCATTTGATCCAATCGTATCTATTTTTGCATTCAGAAATGGATCTTGGTTCAGGATCATCAGTTTCGTTAATAATTGCACATGCCACAGAGTAAGAACATATTTCAATATTTTCAATTTCATTTCAATTTCATAATCTTTTTGTATTGATATATTCAATAGAGATCTCACTATTCTCAAAACCTTCAAAATTTTCTACGTTATTGAGAATCTCTTTGTTTGTATTATTTTGTGTTTCTCCTGGAACACTTTCCTCCAAATCAAGGTCACTATGCCCATTTGCTCCTTTTTTTTTGAGGATTTTTGTCTTTAGAACCGATAGGTCTATTATGCTTTAGGCATGTTTTAGACATATTAATGACTTTATTCTCAGATTATCCTTTTGAGAATTCAATCCGAGCGAGAGCATTTGCAGCTAGTACACACGATTTAATCACCCTTTTTATATAAGTGAACACATTTGGTAATTGAGTTGCTAAGTTTTGTAAGTGCATAATTTTTTATACTTCTAGTTCACATTGCTTTGTGTAAGGATCAAGATCCAACAATGATGATTCACACCATGTAATTTCCTTTTATAGCTGTTTATTTTCTCTTCCTACTACAACAGAGTAGTCATTTCATAACGGTTAGTTATAACATTTCTGAAAAGACGTCACGTTGCTAATAGCGTTTTAAAATAGTTATCATATATATGTATATATATATATATCTAAAAATATCGTGAAATTTGAGCGGGTTTTTTAATATAAACGTTTGGTTCATGGATTAGAATAATGAGATTAGAATTATTTTTAATTTACGTGTATTTTTTATGAGAGAAAACACTATAGTAAACTATAAATCATAATTTGAATTGAAGTACGAATTCCCTGACCAAACAACCATACACGTAAACACGAACATTAGAAACGAAGTTGGGCGGAGAGTGAAAATTTTTTCCTCCAAATTGCACGTTTCTCGCTCATGTGCCACTTTCCCGCTCAAAATTGAGACCACCCATTTTCTATTCTTCGCTTATCACTACTTTTTGAAAACGAATTTTTATCTTTTTCATTTATATTGTTTTCATTTTCTCAACCAGATTTCCTTCAACTCCTCTTCGAAATCGCCGATCTCCCTCATCTTCTCTCCACATTCTCTAAAATCGCCGACCTCATCTCCTCTCATCTTGAATCCAAATCGCCTGATCTGATTTCTGCATCTCCTCTCCTCACCTGATCAGATCGTCCAACTGTGGCCGGTGTTTTCTTGATCGGCGAATATCCGGCCCTCCTCCCCCAAATCTACCGAGGTATGGCCCTCCTCCAGGTGTTTAGCTGGTTCTTTTTTCTGATTTTTGGATCATTTTTGTATATTTTCTCCCAATTCGTAGATCTGATTGCTTGTGATTTTGAAGGAAATTTTTGTTAATTTTTTTTGTTATTGATTTCCCAATCCGTAGTTTCTATAGATCTCATGCTATTATATAGTTGTTGCAATATGAAGTGAGTTTCTTGTAGTTTATGTCTTTTTTTTTTTTTTTGCTCTTTCTTAACAAATGTGTGGAAACATAGTATGGGTGATTTTAGATTTTGATCTTTTCTCAATTCTCAATCGAGGTTAGTATTTACATGTAAATTACATGAGAAATACTCTCTGGATTTTCGGAACAATTTGGTTGGCAATAATTTTTTTTGTTACATAATTTATGGTTCGACGCATGATAAATATATTTTCACTCTGTCTCATTGGAGTATCTGTCCTAGAATGTACGACATTATTGTAATTACAATGCGGTTTTCTCATTTCTGTGTAATGCATGTGATGATGGGGTTTTGAAATTTTTGTTTTGGGTTTATCTCATTTTACGAAGGGTCTATATTTGATCGTAAGAATTCAAAAGGTGAAACTTGTAGGCTCTGTTGAGTAGACTAATATATTATTTAGTGGACCATCTTTGCTCAACTAAACTTCCTTCACCTATAAGCCTCTTGATAGTTGATAAAAATCCCAGCAACTCGTTGGAATTTTAGATGTTTCTGGCCTTTCATCGGTATGGACATCCTTGTCATCAAAGGACATACCAAATATGGGTCGACTGCAGTTGTGACAGATGAAAACATATCAAAGCTAGAATCTTTTTTCCTTTTTAGTTATTCACAACAATGCTCATATAAATAGGCATGAAATTGAGAGGTTTTATTAGAAGTTCGTTCGTGATGTGGACTTATTAAAGTAATGCAAGAAAAAAGCATTAGTTGTTGTGTTGAAGACGACAAAAAATGCCAATTCAGTTATGGCAGAATTTGTGTTGTTGTAAAAGATGAAAAGATGAAAAGTTGAAAACATAAAGCTAGATTTTTTTTTTCTTTTCTTTTTGGTTATTCACAACAATGCTGATTTTGGCGTTTCTTGTGCAGAACCTAAATTGGTAATCAATTACCTTCAGAACCTGAAAAGTTCTGAGGAGTCCTTGCGAGAACAGGTTTAATTTTGGATATTCCTTGCTCTTTTATTTTCAACAAACATGACGATTCATGTTTTCACGCATCATAATTCTTCTTTCTTCTCTCGCATTTATTTAGTTAGAAAAAGCAAAAAGGAAGGATGCTGCATTCATAGTGACATTTGCAAAACGAGAGCAGCAGATAGCAGAGCTGAAGGTGAGTTCTCTTTGCTTGTCTTTTCCCTGGAGATGATGCTATACGCATGTGATAACACAGACTGACTCTGTTTAGAGTGTGTCCATGATTTAGCACGTTTAGTTGGTCAGAACTTTTTATTTACAGAAAAATAAAGAAAAATGATATGACAAGAGTATGCCACCTTAAGGACACTATTATTTTTAAACCAAAGACTTGCTACCTTAACTCCGTTACTCGACAAAAAATAGATGATTTTTTTTCCTTGCGTGAATTATAATTATTTATGTTTTGTATTGTTGGTTGCACAAAGTTCAGTTCGAGAGTTGAGAGTACCACTGAAACCACCATCAATGCAGGTAATTCCTAATACCGTAGTCTAGCTAAGTAGATTTCTCTAGTAGTGAATTCACTAGCTTAAAGGCTATAATTTTTTGCTTATATGATTGTGATAGCAAGTTTTTTTCTCTTCGGGTTTAAATGTAAGCAATGAAGACTCATGCTTTCTCCAACTATCTACATAACAATACATGTAAGATACTCTCTGTCTTACAAGTTTGACATTAAATTTTTACCTAGTGCATCATTGAAGCCATGTTTCTTCTAACTCACTGCAAAACATATGTGGATGTGGCTACGTAGTTGTGAATGGTGTAACTAGTCTTTGCTTTATTTACAAGTTAAATGGTGGAAGTTTTAACTGAGTTTGATTATTGTTTTGATAATGGATTACTTTCTTACAAGTTAAATAGTGGAGATGACGTTTTTGTTGAAGCATTTTGTCAAGATAGAAGGATTTACTTCACCATTTCATTTAGCTAGACGTTTTGGATATTTTGATATCTCTAACTATTCCTCTATTTTCTTTACTTCTTTTGAATGTTAAGGTTTTGGACAAATTGTGTGACTTATGTTGTAGACATGATCTTATTGCCAACTTGGTAGATACTGATAACAATTGAAGCATTGATTGTTTTTGTGTTTTAATTTAAATGTTTCTATTTGGATGTAAGATGCTGCTCGGAATCACCATCTATTTGAATGAATTCAAAAGGATATTAATATGATAAAAGTAGATAGGATGTTAGTATGTATTATTTTTACTATTAGTAAAATAGATCGTGATTAACTTAAAAAGCTACAGGAATATGAACATAACAAAGGAGAAAAGCTATTGATTTGTACCGTAGCAACGCTAAATAGCTGTAAGAGGTTGAAAATAACATGTCTTAAACGTTATAAAACCTCAATTCTACAGCGTTACAGTATGTTTTCATAGGACTTTTAATAGCGTCCGATGTCCTAGCTCCACAAAATGCTATTGGTAGTACTTAATAGCATTTTTAGTCAGCTATTAATAATGATATTTGTTGTAATGCTAATGCTGGGAAGACTACCTCATTAAAATGAAAATAAGAAAAATGTGTTGTAAAAACATCACCAGTTTGAGGCTTAAGATATCTGATGATAGAAGGGGATTCATACCCAATGTATATTCCCAGTCTTTTTTGAGGACTCATCTTTGTGCATTGTGGTGGAGCATATACCGCACAACTATAAATTCTTAGATGAGATATATTTGGTTCTTGATCAAATGCCAGTTGTAAAGGGGAGTACTTATTATAAGCACTCGGTTTGATGCGAATTGATGCCGCAGCATGCAAAATTGTATGACCCCATACGGAAATAAGTAGCTTTGTTCTCATTATTAATGGTATAGCAATACGCTGGAGGCGTTTAATCAATGATTCAGCTAAACCATTTTACGTATGCACGTGAGCAGTAGGATGTTTGACAATAATTTCAATGGACATACAATAATTATTAAATGCTTGAGATGTGAATTCACCAACATTATCAAGTCTAATTTTCTTGATTGTATAGTCAGGAAATTATGTTAGTAGTTTAATTATTTGAGCAATATATCTAGCAAATGTCACATTCTAAGTTGATAATAAGTAAACATGTGACCATCTATTGCATGCATCTATTAATACCATTGAGTATCAGAATGGTCCGCACGGTGGGTGTATAGGCCAACAAATATTACCTTGAATACGCTCAAGAAAGGTAGATGATTTTGTTTCACATAGAACTTTTTTTCATTTGAAAGATATGCTGGCCTTTTAATGAATGTCCATGTGAGCTCTCCACGATTCTTCGCATCATTATTGAACCAAGATGACCCAAATGGTCATGTCATAGATTTAATGTTTAGGGATCTTCTTTAATTACCATGTGTGACTCTATTACATTTATATGTATAATCTAATCCCGAAGAGAGTTTAGAAGTTTTTCTAATATGTACTTCTTTCTTGATACATTAGTGGTTAAATACATATATTTATTATGCCTTTCAATTTCAGATTTTGTATCATATCCATAAAGATATGTCTTTGAAACTCAACAAATTCTTTTGAACTTTAGTGAAACTAGAGCATCATTTAAGGAAAATTTTGTTCCATTTGGCAATACAAAACTTGCTCTACTAGTCCCCTTAACTAAATCTACATTATCTAAGCAATATATCTCGCAAATGTCACATTCCAAGTTGATAATAAGTAAACATGTGACCATCTATTGCATGCATCTATTAATACCATAGAGTATTAGAATGGTCCGCACACTGGGTGTATAGGCCCACATATATTACCTTGAATACGTTCAAGAAAGGTAGGTGATTTTGTTTCAATTTTGGCTGGTGAAGGCTTTGTAATCAGTTTACCAAGAGAACAAGCTTCACATAGAACTTTTTTCATTTGAAAGATATGCTGGCCTTTTAATGAATGTCCATGTGAGCTCTCCATGATTCTTTGCATCATTATTGAACCAAGATGACCCAAACGGTCATGCCATGGAGTTAATGTTTAGGAATCTTCTTTAACTACCATGTGTGACTATCACATTTTAAAAGTTTTTCTAATATGTGCTTTTTTCCTTATACATTAGTAATTAAATACATATATTTTTTATTCCCTTCAATTTCATATTTTGTATCATATCCATAAAGATATGTCTTTGAAACTCAACAAATTCTTTTGAACTTTGGTGAAACTAGAGCATCATTTATGGAAAACTTTGTTCCATTTGGGAATATAAAACTTGTTGTACCAGTCCCCTCAACCAAATCTACATGACTTGATATTGTGTTAATTATTGTCTTTAATGGTTTTAAATCGTAGAAGTATTTTTAAGATTTTAGGATAATATGCGTTGTACCACTATCTGGAATACAAATATTCCTAGTACTAACTTTGAATTTAGCTCCATTCATATTAAGCTTCACAAAAATAATAACAATATCATAATAATATCATGAATTTTAAGAAAATACATAACATAAGATTTTATGTAAAGGGGTACAACATGCATAGAACAGATACAATAAAAAAACAAAATGCAATGCAAATACATAAGAGCATAATATATCTATCTAGTTATCACCAATAGTCTTATTTGTTAAGTCATCTGTGAAGTCTGAGATCATGGTGTTCATTAAACTTTACTTTCTTTTCTTTCTTCTTCAAGGATGCCTTGTAAAGTTTACAAAGATTTTTGGTGTTTCACAAATTCTAGACCAGTGTACTTTAGTACCGCATCTGTAACATGGGAACAACTTATATCATCATCTTTTCTTTTGTCACGATGCTTCTTCTGGATCACATCATTTTATAAAGGGTTGTAATAACCATTTCTACCATGTCCTTGCCACGACCTTGACCACGACCACGTCCACAACCATGATTTTGCCCCGTCTCGGATTTTTAGAGTGTGCAGCACGAGATTAATGATTTTTAATAAAAAATTCATCATTTTTCTCTGTCACAAAAAGAGCTGAGATTAGCTCAGTAAATTTCTTATACCCATGCAAATGGTATTGTTGTTGCAAGGTAATGTGGGATGCATGGAAAGTGGAGTAGATTTTCTCTAGTATTTCACCATCTGTGATATTTACTCTACAAATTTTCAGTTGGGAAACAATTCTAAACATAGCAGAGTTGTAGTCGTTGACTTTTTTAAAATCTTAGAAACATAAATTGTTCCCCTCATCGCCAGTGGCGGGAAGTGCGACTTCTTTCTGGTGGTCGTGTATGACTTCTTTCAAGTGGTCGTGTACAACTTCTTTCTTGTGGTTGTATTTCTTCTTCAGACTTTTTCAAAGGATAAGTGGATCTTTAACCGTGAGATATTCACATTTCAATCCTTCATCAAGATGTTTACAAAGGAAAATCATTACTTTTGCCTTTTCTTGCGGTGACTTGATATTATTTTCTTTAATGATATCGGTAAGACCTATTGACTCTAGATGCATTTGTACATTTATGATCCATGACATATAATTCTTTCCTGTGACGTCGAGTGCAATGAACTCAAGTCTGGCAAGATTCGACATGGTGATAACTATAACATAACATCGATATAATAAGAATGACAACATTATTACTACAATAGAGAGTACAATTAAAATTACATGTTAAGCATAACATAGCAATAAATAAAAGGGAAAATATTATAAGTATGAGTATTGCAAGGAAAAACTGAAAATCATATGGAGAATGATCTCTAATAAAAAAGGCAAACATATAGAAAATGACTACTAAAATAACAAACATTATCATTATATTCGCCATATCGTGAAGATTATATTAAAAATAGTGAAGAGAAGTTGAGAAGTGAAAGATAAAAATATTAAAAAGGGGAAAGAGAAGATGAAAAGTGAATTGTATGGGTTAAGAAAAACCCCATTTTATAGAGTAAAAACTAGTCGTTTATAGCTGTTATATGGCCGTTAATGGTGGTGTAAAAATCTGTTATATTACCGTTAGAAGTAGAAGAAAAATTATAATTGTATACCTAAAATGATGTAGAAAAATAAACAAATGAGAATAGTAATATGCATGTAGAAGTGCAATGAAAATTTATTACCTGCAGGTAGTATAGTCGTCCATTTATGAGAATACAAACACACTAAATTACTTGGTAAATTTTTCAAAGGGTGTATAACGATAAAATTATAAAAATTATAATACATCGGTGGCATAGCCTTCCTTTGTATGAATATAAAATAACAGAGTATATTTATATACCTTTCACTTGAATTAATAAGTATAGAAACTTGTAGTAAGACTAAGGTTAGGACCTACTTTCTTTTAACTTTAAGGTAGATGATTGTAATTGGATTACAACCGTCTTTCTTAGAATTAATGAATGTGGACAATCGCAGTAGGAATAGAACGTTCGTGCAGATAATGTGTTATGAAAACTAAGCATCGTTCATTTCACCGATTCGAGTTTTTAGTTCTATATTTCTACAGTTAAAATCAGTAAGAAAATGTCACATCTAAATTTTTTTGCTACTTTTAAAAGCTCTCAAAATGTGTCACATCTCAACTCG